TGTTATTTAGTGTTAATAAAGAAGTTTTCATTTTACTACTAGCTCTCCTGGAAACTCCCAAAATTTCTCCTTTAAACTGATGATTTTGAGAAACTGCAGGCACGTTACCGCACAATAGGCACATGCATAGGCTGGCTAGAAAATTTCTGATTGTATTCTTGTTCACCCTACGCTCAATTCTTTCAGAGTTATTCTGACTTATGCTAAACCTGGCAGCATCTGCAAGTTTAGCTAGAGAGGCACATTCTACTTTCTAACGCTTCCCTAGTTCATAGCCATGTATGTCACTGACATGAGACCTTTGCTGTTCTTTCTCTGTGCTGCTCTTTCTAAACAGTTCCCTGATCAGGCAAGTCAGCTGAAATGGAATGTGCAGTTTTGTTTAACAATTCCTCCCAGTGCACCGCCAATTGCGCCTCCAGGAACACCTGCTGTTGTGCTGAAATCCAAAATGTTGTTTTTTGTAAGTAGAGCTATCTGTTTTAAAATTTTGTGGGCTGCATGTCTTTGAAATCATCACAGGTTAGTAGCAAAACATAAGCATGCGAAGTCTGACAACTGTAATAGCTAAAAATGTTCTGCTGTTTGGAAGCCTAGATTTGCATGCATCTGTTTTGTAATGAGTTCAGTTAGTATTCCTATTCTCCCTCCTATAAAAGCACAACAACTCTTCATGTTTTGTGTTCTTGGAGAGATGTTTACAACATATAAAGTTCAGTTCCCTCTGGGCTACAGGTATCTTCGAATGCTCAACTTCTGTGTGTTTTGCTCTTCTTTGAGGCACCAACCACCTGGATTAAGTGATATACATATTAGTGGTGCTGGGAAAGGATGGCAGGAATGAGATATTTAGAACAAATCTGTATTAGCATCGTCTCTGAGGCAGTGCTCACTATAGGGTGCTTTTGAGAAGAAAATAGTCTGCACCTGATTGATAACTTCTCTGTTACAGAATTGGTGTCTGAAAACTGAGGGGACGGAAGTGCATACTGTCTGTAGGCCTAGCGTGTTTAACTGTATCGGAAGTTGCACTGAAGTACGTGGTCATTCAATTTAACATGCTTTTTGTTTTTTTCCCACAGCTCCAGCTAACACAGAAAACAACAGTCCCACAGGAAGCTGTTAGTATTATTGTCCCAATTATTTATGATATGGCTTCGGGTACAACGCAACAGGCTGACATTCCCAGGCAGCAGAACTCTTCTGTTGCTGCTCCACTGATGGTTAGCAATATTCTAAAGAGGTTTGCTGAACTGAATTCACCACGATCAGGTACTGTACATGTCCAGTAGATATATTCTCTTCACCCAGACATCTGTGACAAATCTCCAGTGTAAAACTAAACCTCTCTTAAGTCTGAATTCTTCTTGGTTTCTATCATACTTCTTTAGTGATTACAAACTCCTGATGTGACAGGCAATACATAATAGCAAGTACTGGCAACACAGCAGAAGGTTACACTGATGATTCAGGCTGGATTTTGCTGTTCTGCCCAAGTGATAGAATGCACCTCTTGTTGGCCCAACTCTTGCTGCACAGTAGGAGTCATACTTTTTAACAAATGGACCCAGAATGAGTCACAAGAAATATGCTATGGTCAAGTGTCAGTTTTCATGGTTAATTATGAAGTTATTGAGATTAACAGTAGAATATAAAGGGATGTTAAAATAGTTATCAGAACTTGTCCACGTGCTGTGAATGATTAAAAAGTAATTGGAGTGATTGTATACTCCTTTGTCGGTGTGTACACTAACAGGGGCGCATACAGTTCTGTCCGCCAAACGTGCTGTGAAGTGTTTGAGCTAAATAGGTTGTTCTGAATGTTCATTGGCCCGTAGGTAGTGCACTGTGAGCAACGTTGTGCTTTGCTTTCCCTCGTTTGTTGTGCTATTTTTTTTTTTTTTAAATATCCGAAACATTGAACAACGGTAGCAGGTTCTTTGGGCAGCATGTTGTCTGTAAGCAGTGGTTTGAGGTCCTAGTACACAGATGGCTCATAAGAACAATAACTTTCAGTTCTGCTGTAGTTACATGCTGAAGAACAAAGCCTTTTTCCAATAACCCAGTGAATAGATTGAAGTTGTGAATCCAGCGGTTGAATTCTACTTCTATTCTGTATAATTATTCATCTCGTCGTTATGTGGTAATTTTAACTATGCTTGATGGTTTATTTCAATTGCTAGAACATGAGCAATGTTTATCTTAAATTGGTGTGGATGTGCATACATTTCTGAAAATTGTGATGAGATTTAAATTAACATGCATTTTCTGTTTAACATATATTAATAGTGTAGGTAAATAGGAGAGAGAATAGCCTTGAGGGCGTGTGGGGTTATCTGTAAGAGTTCTGTATGTGGTACAGAACTGTTGTTTGTATAGCACTTTTATTTCAAGATACGTTAACTAAACTTCAGACGTTTCTTTTGGAAGGTGCTTCCCCACTGAGTTCCCCCAGCGTGGGGAAGGGTAGATACTTGTTTTGCTGTTTGTCATTGCACTAAGTTGTGTTTTAAGGTAAACCCTCCACAAAATACCGCAGCATAGGGAGTAATTGTCAAAGCTGCTCCTGAGTATCCCAGGTGAGATGTCTTCTGATGATCATTAGATAGATCAGGATAGACAATTTTTGTTTGTCACACAAGTTTTGAAGTAGTTTGGGAATGCAGTATAGGGAGCAGACAGGGAAAAAAATGCGTATAAAAAAGAGCTTGTGGCCCCAAGCAGGACCTTATCCAGGCAAAGAAGAATGTAGCTAGCTGAGCAGAGGACATTTCTAGTAGTCTTCCCTTTGACTTCTGAAAGAAAGAATGAGTCTGTATGGATTTATTTATTTATTTATTTATTTATTTCCACCACTACCCCTCAGCCAAAGTAGAATCTTCCCTGAGGACACTTGAAATGCAATTTCCTGTCAAAACTTACATTATTATATCTGATCAAAGGGAACAAGATACTTTCTTTTCTTTGCCATTGAAAGGTGATAGGAGAGCCAACAGATGAAAGTAGATAGTTGGGAGACGACTTCTACAACAGCAGTACATGGGAGATCCCAGATGCATATCCTTTCTCTTCTCCTGCTATTGTGCTGTACCCAGGATTTTCCTCCATGTGTTAGCTCTTCTGCTGCACTAATTGCAATTTGCTTGGTTAAGTGAATTTTTCACTGTTTCAGTCAGGAAGGACCAGGGCTTCCCATCATGCACGTATGATATTACTGGGACTTTCATTGTAACCCATAATCAGTGTTGCCTCGTTTTGGCTGTATCTTTTTTACCTTTCTCTCTTTGTGAGAAAGTATTTTGTACTCAGCTTAATTTTCTTCTTAATAAAATGGTAGTGCCTGAAAAGTAAGTTCTTTTGGAAGAGTTTTCTTTTCAGATCTGTGGGCAAACACATTCTGCTGTGTTTAACAGTAAAATGTTGACTCATTGTGAGTACGCTGTCTTTCTGAGATCATTTTACCTATGCCTCCATGGGAAAATATATTTTGTTTGGGGGAAATAATTATATGAACTGAGATGGAATCAGTGCCCTGGAATAGTAGGGTTAAACTTGAGCTGTAAGTCTACAACCGGCATTATGTAGTGGACATCAATCTGATAAGGAAATGAAAGTCCCTACAGATGCTAGAGGTGACCCTTAGAGAGGAGCTCAAGGGATTCGTGATATTTCTTAAAGCACTTCACGACCAAGCATTTTTCAGTGTCTGATTTTCAGTGATGCAGTGGATGGTATTTAGCCCAGATTTGTAGCTTTGATATGATAATGACTTGCCCAGAATAATCTTGGGAATCCCTAGTTTGGCAGTTAGGATTAATGCATCCCAGCAGGCTCTGCTCTTATCTCTTTGCTCACACTGTTGCTCCTTCAGCAACAAAATTCAATGTCTTCTAATTGACGTTCCTTGAAATACACAGGAAAAATTCAGCCCACAGTGACCAGGGTACGACAGTGGCTATTAATTGTATTCTTTTACCAGGAAACAGTAGATGAGTCACAGCTGCCTAATACTTCACCTTTTGTTGTTCTAATTAAACCCTTTTGATTCTATTGGTTTTAACTTTTTTAAGCTATTTCAGAATGTGTGTGTGTGTTTGTCAAAAAATGCTGGTGTTAAAAACTTGAGACAGCTGTGGCTGGTTTTTCCTCTCTGTATTAGATCTCAGCAGTTTGAAACAAAAGTCGGTTTGCTCTGTATTTTATTTTGCAGTTCAGATGTCAAGGGCAGAGCCAGAGCAATTCGGCTGAAAGAAAGAGATTTCTAACTTTTGCCCAGTCTTGGAATTAGAAATGTTTCCAAAACGAGGCTTGGGACAGAAAACATCTTCCAGCTGTTTCAGACTTGAGTCTTTTGAAATGTTTAGTTTCTGCTCTTAACCGATACAAATAGAACTTGAAAAAGTTTTTTTTTCTCTGTAAGATGTAGTACTTTTAAGTCATAACATACAGAAAAATTGGGATTGCAGTGCCGTGTACAATAAGTTCTAGTGTAGATTCGATCTGACTTTTCAAAGACGATTAAAAGTTCCAGCTGTTTCAGACTTGAGTCTTTTGAAATGTTTAGTTTCTGCTCTTAACCGATACAAATAGAACTTGAAAAAGTTTTTTTTTCTCTGTAAGATGTAGTACTTTTAAGTCATAACATACAGAAAAATTGGGATTGCAGTGCCGTGTACAATAAGTTCTAGTGTAGATTCGATCTGACTTTTCAAAGACGATTAAAAGTTAAGAGCTGCTGGCAGTTTCGTGACCCAGTTTTTTCGGTCCTGCTGGGAAAGCCGGGGCTACTTCCGCTAAAATCGTTGCAAATCCCGACGTCCTTGGGGGTCGCTGGGATTTGCGAGTGGCCGGTCACCACGTATCGTCAACGCCCGCCCGTACGGGGCAGTGGCCGTGCCGGCGTGGTCGGAGCCGGCGTAGCGCGCTGCCTCGCGAGCTTGTTAGGGCGAAGGCCTGTCTGTGGCGTGATGCTAACCTGTCTCTTTTCCCTGTTCCAGGTGAATGCACAATATTTGCAGCCGTTCGTGATTTGATGGTTAATCTTACGCTGCCCCCTGGTGGGCGTCCCTAGACACTTTTAAAAGAAGGCTGAAAGTGAGACAAAACCGCAAAAAAAAAAAATATATATAGTAAAGCCTTCGGTTAAAAGAGGACGTTTTAATTTTACCTTTTTTTTTTTCTTTTTTTTTTTTTTTCCTCCTAAGAGCTAACTATAAAAAACTGGCAAACTTTCAGGGATGCACTTTCATCAAATGAGTATCACCACGACTTTTGTATAGTGCTGTTGTATAGTGTGTTTTAATGGGAGACACTTCAGACTAGGTAATAGATTGAAGTATCAGCTTGCTGGTAATAGATTTAATATTCTGTTTTATACTATAAAGATTATGAAAATGCCAAACTTGTTTGTTTTTCTGTTTTTCTTATGTTTTGGTGTAATAGTCTTTTTTTAAGGCAGGTCTGTCATTTTTGAATACTGTAAAACTGTGACAAACTTTATATTGAAGCTGTATTTTAATATGACTGCTTTGAATCCTTAAACAATTTATTTGGGCTTGTTGTAAACATGTCCCCAAAAAGCAATATTTAATAAACTGGATTAAAAAATCTTAAACTGGATGTTGTATAATCTTAAACTTTACTCCTCTCCACTATAACCACTGGCCAGATCTCTTGTATTCACACTTACTTGGCTATCTCTGTATGGGATCTTGTTTCCACACACACCCCGCCCTGCTGCTCACTTTAAAAAAAAAAAAACAACACCCCAAAAACTGCCCAAACAAACAAAAAAACCCCTGATTTATTTATTCTGTGGGTTTGATTTGTTCCAAGTCGTAGGAAAACAGTTTGTTCATTTTCCTGGTTGTATAAATAACCAGTAATTACTTAAAACAATGCTTCATTTCTTACAGTCATAAGGAACTACATCTGTTCTGTCCCAAAAGCAAAGTTTAGTGGAAGAAAGCACCTTTTTTTCATCTGTCACGGAGTTTGTTGTTATAGACACCTCTATAATAACAGAGTATTATTTGTCTTCTTGTAAAGGCAGGTAAGATAGAAGCTTGAACTGTATACCATGAAATTGGAGAGGCTGATCCAAAACAGCTGATCCAAAAAAGAAACAACCTCACATTTAACTTTTTGAATTGGGTGTATGTAGATAACTTTGTCAGTGATGACTGAAGGCTCTTGTAATTGAATAAAATTTCCATCCTTAGGAATTACTCTGTCATTTAACCATTTGTCCTCATGGATCAGTATTCTCAAAAGTTCTATTGAGTTCAAGTTGGCTTCCTGACTTCCTGCAAGAGTAGCTTTCTGCTGCTCTGCCTCACTCCCTTTGCAGAGCTCCGTCAGCTCCCTGCTCAGCTGAAGGATGTTTTAAACGAATTTCAGAAATCTTTTGGTGGATGTATTCTAGCTTGCCTTGCTGGCTTTGAGGCTGCCCATTTACCCTACAACTGTCGCAACGCTTCTTTCCCTGTGAATGAATGAGTCTCTTTCAAAGCTCTTGCCATCGGAAATTATCTTTCGGTTGGTGTCCACTTCAGATTTCAGCCTTGAACCTGTGGTTTTCGGGGTTGGTACTGAATCAGTCGGTACTTTTACACTGACCTGTGTGTATCTGAAATCTTTTATGCAGTTTCTGCTTCTGAAATGCGAAACTTGTCCACTGGAGCGAAAACCCTGGCAATCTTTAAACGTTGTTGCTGCTGCTACTCAGTTGGAAAGATTTTGTATTTCTATCTTTTCACAACTAAACTGATGTTTCAGAACAATTGAGAGGTGATACAAGTATGTCTGAAAAAGGCTGGGTACTAGTCGGGATTCAAGATCTGAGCATTCCCATGCCTAAAAGCAGCTTTCTGATACACAGAGAAGTATCTGCTGTTCTTTGTGCTAAGGGGCAGGTGAGCATGCTGGCGGGCAAAGGCCCCCCGAGAGCCTCAGCGCTTGAAAGTAAAAGGGAGGGGGAAGGTCTACCCATAGGGCAGAGATCACAAAATACGTAAAGTTGGGGCAGATGGTTATGAACTGACATTCCCAACCCGAGATTATGGGAAGATTGAATTTTATCTTATACACACCACTTCTCTTAACATACACCACATTTTATGCCTTTGTTAACTAAATCCTCAAGGAAAATGCTACTAGTAGAAGGAAGCGTTTCCCACTGACCAGGGGCACTTGTTCCTTTCAAAGAAATGACCGTGTATATTTACAAGTGCAGTTTTAAGTTTAGTTTTTCATGTGTTCAGTCTAGTTTTCTGGTAGCCAGATGTTATACCTACCTGCTGCATTGGGACTATTTGTAGATTTTAATTGTTACAGGAGATTCAGTTGTCCATTTATTTCACTAAAAATGCAGCAGTGACTCCACATCCTGTGGTACCCATAGATTGTTTCTGATAAACCTGCCTGTGGGACAAGTGTGAGAGAAATTATTCAGAGAAAAATAGCAGTTCTGAACTGATCCGCAGATCTGGCATAGCTATGTTAGCCAGTGTCAAATGGGAACACACAACTTTTTAACTATCCAAAAAGCCATCCCAGATGACAGCAATAGACTTTGTGCTGTAACAAATATTGATCAAGTTGTGTTAAAGGTCTTCTTAATACAGAAAAGAGTGGAGAGGCTTTTTTGAGCCCTGCAAGCACTCAGACAAGGAGCTGAATGAAGGTGAGTTTTTGGAGGGTTTTTTTGCTTGAAACTAAGTTTAAATTCCTTGCTATCCTTACACATTTGAGCGTAAGGCACTCCTGCAGACACAACCCGCAGGTTGCCTTTGAGACTGCAGGTGTTTTAATTGAGTTTACAAAAATTGCAGGAAACAAGTTCTGATAATAAGTAGCTGAGACAAAACAAAGTTTCATAAAACTAGAAGGTGTTTTTCGTTTAGGAGCTATAGTTTGTCCTTAAGCATGCGCTCGGTTTCATCTATTAGTTGAAAGCTACTCTAGTTAGAGGGCATTTTAAAGCAAATGTATGAAATCTTCTGTATGAAAAATAGCAGATGATAGACTACTGGGAGAATATTTGGGTCATTTTAATCAGATTTATGATTTAAACTGTCAAAGGTGTCACTTCAGAAGCTGTGCTACACTGGTTATTTCAGGTCAAGTGTTTATAGTCGTTCCCCTGGCCCAAATTTTCCGTGTACTACAGAATTTCAGATGTTTCTAAGGTAAGAATGTATTTCAATAAATTAATGTGTAATTGAAATGTATTAACTGTATGTAGCATCTAGACTGTAGTTGCAAAGCTGCGACTGCTGTGTAACCCCATAAGAGCAATATAATTGGGAGTTTCATATGTAGATTAAATCACATTGACTTCAAATACATGAGGCTTTTCCTAAGACGCTCCAACAGCCACTGGTGGTTCGGCGTTCAATGGGTAGATCATAATTTTTTGGGAATGTTTTTAAGACTTAACTTTGCCTGCAGGAGCATCGGGAAGCAGTGCTGTGCTGTCTCTTCGCTGCGTGACGCTCTCCCCGTGTACTCCCAGCCCCGCACATTCTTCCAGAGCGGTGATTAACTTCTTTTGGAAATGACCCCTCGAAATAGATTTTACAGGAAACATCCGGCTGCTGCTCTGAAAGATAAGAGATGCCGAGTGCAGAAGGGTTGTACCCGTGTTGGTTGGGGGCTGTGCAGAGCAGCACGGATGCGGAAAGCTACGGCAGCTTAAGCCTGGACAGCATGAATTCCTGCCCCAAGAAATAGAGTTCAGAGGGGCCTCCGGAGGCAGAGCCCCCCAGAACAGGAGCGTCCCCTCACACTTCACTGGAGAGCCGCTGCACACAGCCAGGAGCGACTGGCATAAGCGAGTGCTGCAGGGAAAATGGTCTCTGCTATGTGAAATAGGGCTCCCGTGAAAAAGCGTGATGTTTAGGCTTGTCATCAACAGGCTTTACTCCTCCTATGATTCCCCACCACCACGCATGTTTTTAAAAGGCCGTTATCGAGGCTGCAAATACTAGAGCAGGGGAGTTTCTACTGCACCCGAGGCTTGCTTTTGGCGAGCAGAGGCTAAAGGGGGAGTTTGTCAGAAACTACAAAAAAGTGGTGTGCTAACAGGCCGGTCAGAGGTGGGGAAGGGTTTTGCTGACATCCTTGCCACGTGCTGGGGCAGGCAGCTCCCAGGGCAGAGCGGGTCGGGGGGGAAAGGGGTCCCCTCCCTCTCCTCTGCCACCCCTGGGGATGCGCCTGCCTCCCGGATGTCTGACCCCGCTCAGGGTCACTTCAGCTAATCAAAAATAAATGAGGAGTCCTACCCTACCCTTAGGAAACCTGCACTGTGGCCTTGAAGCGCTCACATCTCTGCATTGCCATAACCTGTACGTGTATGGGCAGGCAAGCACAGCCCCAAGCCCCCAGCTCTTGCCTGCAGCCCCCCACCCACCTGGTGCTCCTGCGGGCAGGGACCCCACAGGCCAGGACCGGCCTCCCAGCAGCCTGGCCAGCCCCACGGCCCTCTGGTCCTGCCAGCCCTGCCTGCTGCCGCGGGGGCTGCTGCTGATCAGGCAGCGTGCTGCTTTCTGTATCTTTCTTTTTGAGGCTTCCTGCGTGACGCATACAGCCTTGAAAGCAGCTGGCAAGCTTGCAAAGCAGCAGGCAAACCGTAGGTGCTGCATTTAAGAGACAGAGAAAAGCGTTCCCATCCTTTGAAGCTGATTTTGCAGCAGAGGGAGGGAGGGGGCGGCTGGGGGGCTGCAAGCCAGCCTGGGCCCCGCTGTGCTTTCGGCACGGATCTGTGCAATGTCAATCCTGCAAAGCAGGGATGGAGCCAGCCTGGCGCAGGGCTGTGAGCTGCCGGTGGTGTCTCTGGTGCCGCTCTGCACCGGAGCTCCCGCCTTGCTCCTCAAGGTTATATAGAATAGACTAGAATAGACTATTTCAGTTGGAAGGGACCTACAACGATCATCTAGTCCAACTGCCTGACCAATTCAGGGCTGACCAAAAGCTAAAGCATGTTGTTAAGGGCATTGTCCAAATGCCTTTTAAATACTGACAGGCTTGGGGCATCGACCACCTCTCTAGGAAGCCTCTTCCAGTGTTTGACCGCCCTCCCAGGAAAGAATGGCTTCCTCATGTCCAGCCTGAACCTCCCCTGGTGCAGCTTTGAACCTTTCCCACGCGTCCTACCACTGTATCCCAGGGAGGAGAGCCCAGCACCCCCCTCTCCACATCCCCTCCTCAGGAAGCT